TCCACTATAGACCCCAATGGTAAGATGTCCAACTTTACAGCAAAAATAATCATGTTTTTGGATCAGTCGGGAGTTACGAAGGAGTAAGACACTGCCAGGATGTTAATGGCCTCGCTTTTCTGGAAACCTACAGAAGGCGTCACTTTAGCTCATTGGCATGGAAACATTTGCTAATTTGCATTACATACAAAGTACAGCTGGAGCAAGTGTTGGTTTTAGATTCCAATCAGAGAAAATACTGCACAAATTCAAATTCTGTCCTAAACACGGATATTCCAGTGCCAATACATACAATTATTGTTGAGATATATTTCCTTCAAAAAACATAACTGTACACCTGCATATAGCACTAGAGGAAAACTATTTGTCCTTAACCTTAAATGTCCCAACGTTGATGGAAATCCATCCATTAGTTGTTAAGTTATTTCAGTCCAAAGTGCGTATGGACCACCGACGAAAGTAATACTGCCGTCAAGGGCTCCGCAGCCTGTGTGACTAACAGTGATGGTGATAGATGTCGCTAAGTTTCAGTGAGAAAGACACAGTACCACATCGAGAACTGTACATCTATCATTTTTTTTTAAGCTTTTATGATCATCAGCTCTTAGTGACTAGGAGTGCTGCAAATGTCAAGTGCCTTAAATAGAGGGAGACTGAATCCCAAAGGTTTTGCTGGGATGGAGTCCTCCGGGCAAGAGGAAACATGAAAATCAAAAGTGACACGGCATAAAAGTGAGATAGACGAGCCAGTCTAACTGAACTTCACTAGAGGTGCGGCTCATCATGGTGGCAAAGATAGGGAACAATGAAGGCCGCTAGTATGTTGTGACCAAAAATTCTTGTATTTTACTCGTGTGAAGAATATATCGATCTTTTGTTTTGGTATATTTCACTTTCTTTTCTTTTTCAACACTTCATTTATATGCTCGATTTTTCTTAACTGGTAAAAGATGGCCACAGAGAGAAGCGGCAGGGAGGGAGACAGAATGGAGGTAATCTTAGAGCCAATAGATACGTCAAGAGACTTACGGATCAATGTGTTTAGCATCATTGTAGTGCTGAATGTTTGCCTCTCTGCTGCTGTCTTGGCTCCACGGCCAAAAACTGTGTTGCTGCAACGTGAAACTAGATTGCTCTGTAGCACCGTCTCCATCTTTACCTTCTTTATTTTTCTCCCTTTTGTCAGTGCCTTCACCTTTCTCTGTTTAAATGTTTTTACCTCTCCTCCAACAGTCAGCAAATGGTCAATTAAAAAAAAAGAAAAAGAAGCATACTGGAATTATTAAACAGATCCGATGCCTTTGTAGTGCAAATTGTACAAGAGACAGTGAAAAAGGCAAGAGCGCTGATGCACTTTGCATGTGCTTCCTGTTGTCGCAGCGGTCCATACGGCACATCTACAGCCTGATGACTAACATCTACTGTTCTGAATGTGCTGTCTGTTTTTTTCTCCCCCCTCTAACACACATCACCCACACACCCACACACTGTTAAACTGTCTCCTCCAACATCCATCTTAGTTCATGATGAGAGGGGGGGGGTCACCTCTTACACGGTAAATGATAAGATTACAGCTATTAAAGAGTCTGCTGACCCAGACGTGGCAGTGCCGTGGATGGGAACAAAGAAAGAAATGGCAGCACTCACCGGAGACGCCACTATATAAAAACACTTACAGGTTATTGCCACAATCAAAAATAATATGGACCCAACCTCCCTGCTAATGGGGAGGGTGTTGACAAGTGGCTATCGTGTTTCGAATGCTCGCTGGCCATCTCAGGGGACAACTGATTCATTCAAAGCCACATAAAAAAAAAAAAGAAAAAGAAAAAGCCCAGAGGAATACAGAACTACCCAAGCCCTTCATGTCATGTTAGTAAATCATTTGTCAAACCATATTATGTTCGTACGACCAACTGCGCCTGTGTGTCACAGCTGTGGTGATGAGCATCGCTGCCTACTGATGGCAGTGCAGAATACATTAATAAAATGTATGTGCTTAGCATAAACGGAGCTGTGCTGCTGATGGCGATTTGCCACAGAGAAAGTAGAGAGACTCACATATTTCTCCCACTTAAGCAGGACTGTTAGTTTACCTTGAGGAGCAGTGACATAAAAATGCAATGGCATAATCACCAGAACGCCACACTCCTCTGGCCAGTTATCATAAGAATAAATCCCTCTTATCGTTGCTTCCCACAGTCGGCGCAGCAACAAAATTAGAACATAATCTTCCTGAGGGCTGAGGCGTCGAGAAGACTAGATCAATAACGCTGAGAATTCATGCCAGGAGTGGATATTTTGAGATGAAAGGAAGGTGAACTTCTCCAAGCAATTCCAATACAGCAGAGGGCTTGTTATTGTTGCTGGGGAGTTTCTGCTGTTTGGCTGTACGGACATGACGGCATGTCCCACAGTGTAGAAGAAGACCTGATGTCATGAACTTTAACTGGATTTCTCAGTTTGATTGCAGCTTCAACAAAACGAGTTGACACAGAAAGTCGAGAAACCAAATCCCATCCTGTCTGACAACGCATATAGGCCGACTTTAAACTAAACAAATGACCTGAAATCACCTGCTAACGCCACGTGATGATGCGTGTGTGTCTCTAAAGTTGGCATCCGTACGTGACGCAGGGCGTGCCTATGCATCCAGACATCAATACAGCATCAGTAATGACATCTCTCCGGAGAGCTTTGGCCTCGAGACGCAATGAAGCATGAAAGAGAGATGAAGGAAGACAAAGACGGAAAGTGGGGAGAGAACAAGAGAATAGGAGTGAGTGTGCAACAGAGCAGAATATGTGGGGTGTAATTACTCGGTGATGGGTGATAAAATGACACAAGGAGAAACAGAAGTCTAGAAGTGTTGCATACTAATGACTGCTACAACCTGCAATCTGCATCTCTTAACACCAGGCAGCTGCAATTAGAAGCAGCTTCTCACCTGTACACAGCGGATTAAACACAATGCACATCAGCAGAACTTCAGCACCACAATGAGACGTTCACCTCCACTCCTAAAGGGTGTACTGTGCTCTTTAGTGACTGTCTAATACCGCCGCAACGCCTCTTCTTGTCTGAACTCCAGAAATCCACTCTGGTGCTGACGGAATTAGACACTGACTCATGGATTTGACTTGAGCCTTGAATGGTTGGAAGACTCCACAATAAGGGAAAGTAAATAACCAAAGGGCTCTATAAAACATTTGCAGAAAAAACAATAAAAAACCAAGCTCGCAGGATTTCCCACAGTTTATCTTTGCTCCGATAAGTTGCTTAATTCCTAAATATAACTCGCCATTTTTCACAAAGACTGCACCAAAGTTGGCAGTGCATGAAAACGAACTAGCCATGCAACACAGGCTGAGATATTTGTATATAAAGCATCTGTGCAGAAGCAGAGGAAGTCCTAATTAGGTTTGTTGGTATTGTTGTGTGCTGCGTGGCATGACACGACTGCTCTATCAACCAAGGTGTGTGTACTGCCTAAATGTGTCAGACCACTTCACAATGTTTTGAGCGTCTCCTCAGAAAAGGAAGCTGCAGTAGTTAACGGCACTAACGCTCAACATTTTGACAGCGACTTTCATTAGTTCTCCCTGTTTACGTCAGTCAACAGGCTTCTGTTTGCCTGTTCTTCTCAAGGCTTCGATTCGCAGCACTCCAGACGCTTGCAACAAAAGGATTTATTTTTTTTGAACACAGATGTATCAAGGACATTATTCGAGGGCCCCTCTCATGGTAAGCAACCTTGGAGTTCTATTTCTGGTGCCAGAAACAGCATATGTGCATCTAACATAGTGGGGGAGCGAGGACGAGTAGGTGAAAAAGAAGTGAAAGTTTTAGTGCTTTTCTCAGAAGGAGGGGATTAATTGAAAGTAATTAAGGAGGTAACCGTCTCTCCAGGGACCAGGAGAGGCCTTCTCCCCCATCAATCAGCAGCTATCAGTGCCGAACCTAAACCGGCAGACCGGCGGTACAGTGCGGATAGACATCACTTCTTAAACACTAATCATTCATCATTCCGCTGAGCCATGATAAAGTCAGGGAAGGTTTCAAAGCTCTGCTGATGAGATACTGTCACGAAAACTAAACTGAGGCACTAACTGTCGCTGGAAACTGACGAGGCGCAGAAAGCGAAGTAGATTCTGCCGTGATGAAAGCAGCCTGATGTTATAACGGAAGAAAAGCAGACATGGAGTTATCATCATTTAAAGGGCAACAAGATGACTGGTCCCTGGTGAAAAAAAAAACCCTTTATATTATTTGGGAGTGAGTCAAATCCATCAGTTTTGTTACACTGCTTTAGAACAACAAAAAAAACCTGCTGATTATTTTCATCGCTGATTAAAACCCATATAATTTCCCTGATTAAACGCCTCGCAAAATGTTAAAATATGGTTCACAGAACACAATTAGCGTTGACCTTAGGTTGGCCTTCGTTCTTGAACTCGTATTGTGATGTTTGTATTTGCGGGGTCAAAATGCCAACGTCGCTTTCACTGAATTGAAAAGACAGCTGTACAGTCAAAGTGAAATAAAACGCAGCCATTTTGGATGGATGGAAGATTATTGGAGTCCAACGGCCTGCTGTCATGGGAGGCTTAGCCGCTACTGTGGCGAACTAATCTTCCTTTGCTTGCAGTGCTACAGACAGTAGTGGGTATATTGTGCTCGGTCCTGCATCGGTATGCCGCGAAGCACTGCAGGGGATACATGTAAGGGATTAGCTTGAGTTAAAGCTGTAATACAGGCGGGGTGCAGCAAGAGGAAATCACCTGTCTGTCTGGTCTTTGTCTGCTCTGTATTACGGCTGTGTGGGGGGGAGGGTCAAGAGTTCACAACACAACAGGCAGCGGAGGAATAGTTAACCTCTGTGAGCGCTTTGTCTGCACCTAATGGCCTCATATTGTGTGTGTGTTTTTTAATATCCACCTCATCCGTGGAGAGATGCAAACATGGGAAAAATGGAAATAAATGATGTTGTTTGTACTGACCTTGGCCTTGCCGGTGCTCTGTAGAATGTGGACCAGAGCGCACGCCATCTCCTCCTTGTTCTTGACGCTAATCCCGGGCTCCAGCACCGAGCACAGCAGCATGTAGTTATTGGTGGTGTACTCTGCAAACTCCTTGTACATCTCCATGGGAAGAATGTTCATACTCTGATAGCGCGCCTTGATCCTAATCATGGGCCCAGATGTCTTGCCCTTAGGGGGATTGGGAGTGCTCACTGGATACCACTTCTCCACAAACTGTCGTCCGGTGACGGCTGCGACGGGGATATTGACAAGTCCGATGTAATTGTTTTTATCTTTCTTCTTCTTCTTGTCTGTGTCTTTGTAGAGGTGCGCTGTGATGCTCTTGACAGCGGGCAGGTTGCTGAACTCAAAATGCTCTCCCCAAAAGACATTGTCAGTCTTGAGCTTACAGGTGGTGCGGGCATAGAGTGAGTCATCAAGACAAAGCTCACAGAAGTATTTCTTTTTGGCCGGCAGGTCCTTGGCTTCGATGATCCACAGCCGCAGCATGTTCTCCACCCGGCGACTGTTGTCCTGGAGACAGAGGAAATGATAAGACGTGGTTTAGCAGTCTTTAAAAACAATTCGGACAAAATAATACACCACTGGAAACTGACAGTTTAAACGACTGCTCCAGTAGAAGGAGATGTACAAGATAATATATATATATATAAAGAAATGAACTAAAAAAATCAAATGACTGGATAAATAAACTAATAAATAACACAGACAGTATTTCAAACATTTCAGGGAAGCAATCTGAAAAGCTTTTTCTTTCCTATTTTCAGCCATTAAAGAGCTAAGCAGCGCAAACCTATTGTTATGTCATCAATTGATTTTGCCGAGAGCAGGGCATATTTTTGGCCCTTTATTCAGATTGTCTTGAAAACTACCTCAGAAAATGAAGAGAGGAGCCAACAATTACATTATTAAAAAGGAATTTCAGAGCCTCTCATAGTAACAAGGAGGCTTTTGGATGTCTGAAGCCCTGGTAGCTACGCTTAAGAAAGCTCAACAGTATCTGGCCGCTTTTCAAATTGCAGACAAAAACTTGCTTTAGCTTATGCTAATAGGGGACCTATTATACTTCTACTTCTTTTCTGTCATATATATGCTCTTACAGTGTCACAGGTTCATATTAAAAACGGCCAAAAGCTTCAAATAATGTGGTAAATATGTGTAAGTACAGCTAACAGACAGAAATTGCTGACCATCTGCAGGCTTCCTGAGGATAGCCAATCAGAAGAAAGTGGGCTTTTAGGGAGGGGTGGCCTTAAGGAGATAATAGCTTAAAAGGCTAGTTTCAGACAGAGGATGAACTGAGCTATTGCATAAAAGTTTAGTACAAAATACAGATTTTTTTGGATGTGTCAATCATGCAAAGATACTCCAATGGCGTCCCAGAATAAAAAAAAAAAAAGAGAGAGCTGGAAAAGAACACACTAGCTTTCCTTTATTGCTTCTGTTGTGCTTGACATTGAATTCACCCGAACTTCAGGTGTGTCAGAACACTTCATTTTACTTTTCATGTCTTTGAATCATTCAAGGTTTATCTGCATAACATGGGAGCTAAAAGTTGAGGAGTTGCGTGGTAACTGGGCAAATCTGTCAAACATGAACAGATGCATGGGTCATGAGGTTCATGTCTCAACATTCACCTTACAGAAAGTAAAAAGAGTTCTCCTTTTCTACTGTCAGAAAATCTGTTTCGAAGGACCTTTCTACAGACTTCTCCGAGGAAAGGCAGTGGCATTTTTTCCTAGCCTTTACACTAACAGGTCAGGACACATCCGTCTGCCACAAGAAAGGAACATTTATTTCCCTCAACTGTTCTCAAACACTAAATAAACAACTCGAGCCTTGCCTCTTTTTCTTCCCAGATGCCACATGACTGCACTTCGGCTCACTCAGAGTTTCCACATGGCCCGTTTATCAAAAAGTTGTTCCTCTTTGCATCTCTGTCTAGTTATGTCACAGTCTTACGCAAATCCGCAAGGAATTTAAAGTGGTCACCCCTTGTGTTGGTTTCCAAGTCCATCCTCCACAAATCCAGTGAAAAACCCCTCCTACAGACACTGACAATAATAAGTAATCACTTTCCTTCCTTATTTATCCCTCCAAAAGACGCCAGATAGCTTTGCTCCGATGACTCATGTGCTGAGTCAGCCTGCACACGCTAATTGTAAAGGACAGCTCTCGCATTCGACTGAACCGACCAGGAAATAAACAATGTTTCATCAGACACAGTGCTCCCTAAATGATCCCCTGACTCCTGTACTGTATGTAGCATCTACTATGCATCTTATCATTCCTTTAGCAACCTGATGTTTGCAACCTTCCTCCTCTGCTCCATATTATTTCTGATGATTAGATTTTTAGAACAGTGTTGTCAGCAGTGTTATCAATTCCCCAAATTTCCCCATGTTGCCACGACAGATTACTCCATATAATAAATAACACGATTCTCCAAAGAAAGTGTTATGTACGTCTCTACAGGCACCAGCCCATGAAGGACGATAACTCTGTAAATTGCCTTTTATAATTACCTATAATTATCCACTTAAACAGCACAATTCTGCAGGTTTGACATTAAGGCGCCCCTGTTTACACTATATTTAACATATATCCCTGTGTATTTACTTTGTTGTTCCATGATTTTTCTAACTCTTTGCTATTATAAAACACAAGACATGTGAGGACATGGCAACAATTAATGACTTGTAAACCACAACAGGTTGAGTCTAGCATGATAATGAGGTTGTTGTTATTTTCTGTAGACCAACATGTACCCTGTCATTACAGACTATGTTTGGAGCAAAATATATATTCAGTAAATAAATGTCTTGATTTCTCCATTTGCTTTGTTGATCCTCTTGTCCTTGCTTGTCCACTATACATTTAGTTTGCAGTGTGTTATCTCAAACATGGCCCCTGGTCTAGTCTATGAATTATAGTAGTACTGCAGCAGTGTCGTTATTTTGGTAGTAGTACTATTAGCTAAATTTGTTTAGCTTATTTAATACAACTCTGAAACTGTTCTTATATATTTCCTGAATTCCAGTATCTGTCCCCATGTTTGGTAAAAAATTTTTTTTTTAAAAAAAAGCATTGCATTGCAGCTTATCTCCCAAAATCATGGCATAATTAAAAATGCAAAGCCAAGATAAAGAGACAGAAATAACACCTCTTTGCCAAAAGAGCTATGGAGAAGGAAGACTCCAAAGCTATTTGGGAACTTTTCCTCTCCAAACTTCTAATTAGTGAGTAATTTGCTAAATAATGACAGATGAAGGAGGGAAGATGCTGTGCGATTAGGACTACGTTCTTGGCTTGAAATGTTCGCCACCTCCCTCCTCCTCCTCCCCCCACCCCTCGCCACAGCTGTGTTTGTCAAGATTACAGATGGTATCGATGCGCAAAACAGAAAAAGCACGTTGGTGTTTTCTCCCCGCAACCTCTGCATCCTCTGTTCTTGAGTTTGTACTACGCGGGAAGAGGCGCAGCTTGATGTAAACACATCCGATCGTCGTGTGAGATGACAGCACAGTGTCAACACCGTACAGCTCCCTGCTTTTTTTTTGTGTTTTTTTATCAGTGTTGCAAAGTGCGGTTTGGAATTGCGCATGAACTAATTACTGCTGATTGCTTCACACCGTCTAGTCCCACCTACTGTGTATTTACATGCTTACCTTGTTTGGTTGTACTGCTCTCCTCAGATTCTCCATCCATTTGTCTCTTTCGGCTGATGAACGGCAGGAAAAGCATTTGCTTCCCGTGGAGGTAGTGACCTACCGCCGTGGCGCAGAGAGAAGAAAAACAAATGCTTTAATGATCAAGCCTAATGCACAACAATGGCAGAGAGCAAGTGGAACAGAAAAGGGCTTTTTTAAAAACTCAACTTAGTTCATAAATGCCACTTTGTCTATGAAAAAAAAAAGTTTCTGAACAATCCACACACACGGTGGATATGAGGAGCCTGAGGATGACTTGGCAGCATTGAGAAGTGGCTGAACAGAGCAGTGTTAATGAACAGAGGAGAGAGATGACTGGTTTGGCAGACTGGGTTGTTTTAAAATGCACATTGGGGTAGAGAGAACAGAGCAGGAAAAAAAAAGCATGATGTAATTAGCAGGACAATGAAGATTAGTGGAGATATCTGGTCTCTAAAGTAGCCGGCGTGGGGTATAAAGCATTGAGTAATCTCTCTCTCTCCCTTGCTGACGCTACACCTGCAAACATGTGTGTTTGAGCACACATATTATTACACATGTGGATTCTTGAAGGTAATGTCTTTCATAATTAGTTTTTAACTGCTACAGTCCAGCAATAATGGTGGGGATATAAGAGTTTTCACATAGCCAGCAATTAAACAAATTGCTTGCTGCTTTTCCATTTACTTTTTATAAACAGAGAAATGTCAGCGGGAGTTAATCATAATTGTCGCTGTCCTCTGTGTTTTAAAATAAAGAAAAGCTTGTTCTGTCTCAACATTGGACTGTAATTGGTCATCAGCACCTGAAGAAGAACTGGATTTACATCAAAGACGAGAAATGAGACAGTCTGCTGCATAATTGTTGCCCTAAGTTGTAAATTCACATTTTAAAGTTTTCTTTTTGTTACAGTCTCAATGTTGGGGATTGAACGATGTGATTTGTCAGGGCTGATATCGACACCAATTATCAATATACAGGGAAGACTAATAACTGATAGTTGAAACACAAACTTTAACTCAAAACTTGGGTAAAACACCATTGTTTAGTCATGTTTTGCATGTTTAATTAAAACTTTTAAACCTTTATCCTTTAGTTTTAATGAATTTATTTACCTGAAATCACTTTAAAAAAACAAACAAAAACAATAACAGGAAAATTGTTAAACATATGATCCAGTAATCAGTTAGGTCGGTCTGGGGAGCCTTCAAAACAGTTGAACAATACAGACGGTTTTGTCGTCACTTTTAATTAACTCAACTTAATTTTCCTAACTCTTTAGAAATCATATTGAAAATTAATCAGCAACTGCTAATCAGTTAATCACATCAATGTTTTTGTTGTTGTTTTTTTTAATTAAAAACATCAATCATTATCTTTTTCCAGCTCTTCTGTGAATCTTCCGTTTGTGTTACGTCAAACCTTTGTAGGCTGATTAATCAAGGTGATAATCAGCAGGGGAAAAGAAAAAAAAAGATAATGATAATAATTGTTAGCCCTAATTTTTTGGGGTAAAAAAGACAGAGAGAGAGAGACAGAGATATAGAAAACTCAAAAAAGTTTGCTGAGAACCAAACATGGTGTCATAATTTCACTTGACCCAGAAACCAAAAGCAAACTAATTAAAAGTAGTGAACGTGAACTAATGATTTAGCTTCCACTGCGCAATGCAAAAGGAGTTCAGACCAGAAGCTGCAGAACAAACTGCAAACACAACACTGACATATGATTACCTCCTAAAATTGTGTTTGCGATTCATGTGTCTGGCCACTTGATTAATATAAGTCCAACATTCACTCTCCCTTTAGCTCCGCTTTGGTGCTCAGTATCTGGATTTCTGATGTGGCTCATTAGCAGCCAACGTACGGCAGGTTTTAAAGCTTTTCTGCCACCTGCTGTGACTCTAAATGACGCTGTTGAGACCAATGAGTCAGCCAAAGGGGTTGAGTAATACGGAATCACAGGAGTGCCATAATAAAAAATACATCTGTTAAAAAATAAGGAAATAAATGTGGAAATATAAAGAGGAATACAGAAAAGAATAAATTTAAAAAATATGGAAATATAAAGGTAAATTATGTCTTTGCATTTCCCTTTTCCCTGTGCTTTTTCATTTTGTTTTTCCATTTTGTATTCGTCTTTTCCTTTTGTCATGGTTTTTTTTTCCTTTTTTGTCATTGCTTTTTCCATTTTGCCTTTGTTTTTACTTCATGGACTGAGCTGTCAATCAAATGGCTTTGGGCGGGGCTTTCTGTCCAGGGTGAGTAGTCAATACCTGATGACAGGATTCCTGCTTGGTGCTAGCTCCTAGCATGGCTCAAGGGAAGTGACGTCACCTTGGCGCTGAGAGGAAGTACACATGACACAATTTGCGAATGCACGAATGTGACACTTTTAACGGATTGTTGAAAGTTCTTGATGAACACCTCTCCTTAATTCCTCCACGTATTCCATATTTATTTTAGTCAAACTGCATGCGCGTGTGTACTTCCTCTCAGCGCCAAGAAACTTCCCTTTAGCCACGCTAGGAGCTAGCACCAAGTAGAAATCCTGTCATCAGGTATTGACTACTCACGCTGGAGAGAAAGCCCCGCCCAAAGCCATTTGATTGACAGCTCAGTCTATCAGGTAAAAACGCAAAATGGAAAAAGCAATGACAAAAAGAAAAAACTATGACAAAAAGGAAAAGCAAAAAGAAAAAGCAAATCCAAAATGGAAAAAAAGGAAAAAACAAAGGGAAAAGGAAAAAGCAAAGACAAAATTTACCTTTATATTTCCATATTTTTACATTTATTCTATTATTTATTCCTCTTTATACTTACACATTTATTTCTCTTTTTTTAAAAAAAAAAAACAGATTTAATTTTCATTATGGCACTCCTGTGATTCTATACATGCCCTTGGTTACCCTTTGTGCTGAGTTTAATCCATCAAAGGTTTCTATACATCCAAGCCTTGGAAATGCTCCAAAGATACCAAGGTCTATTCAATACTTTTTACTTATGTAACCCAGGCCACCTGAGCAAACACATGCTACTCCATAAGTGCAGCATCACTCGATGTATGGCTGCGTGTGGATGCATACTGTATGTGCCTCACCTCGAAGCAGAAGTCCTGCCCGAGGATGCTGCTGTGAACAGGCTTGATTATAACCTCGTCCTCCATACTTAGGTCCAGGGCTTCCACAGCGCTACTGGGGCTGAGCAGTGACTCATGGGAGCGAGACTCCTTCAGCCTTGGCATCAGATGAGATCTAAGAGTGGAGAAGGAGAGAGGAGAAGAAGAAGAGAACTGAGTCATCTTGCAGAGTCGGAGCAGAGGAAGTGAGACAGATCGAGCATATGCACCGCACGTATCGGCGAGTGTGAAGGGAGAGTGTGCGAGGATGACGAAGAGAGGATGCTCCACTTGCCTCAAAGTCAGCGACTTCTCAGCATGACAAGCTTCCACTCTACTGCTTCTACTGTATATCAACACGTCTTCACCCGCTTCTGAGCTCACTTGCTAATGGATGCTTTGTGTCTTGTCAATTACAACTTGAAGCACCAATGAATGAATGAAAAAAGCTTGAAAGATCGAGTCAAGCTGTGCCGCCAGCTGATGCAGTGGAACCACTATAAATAGGAAGCAGTTCATATAATTGATTATCATTAATGGTCAGACTTGGAGATTTCATTGATGTGATAATGTTTCACAGCGACGCACTGCTTGGAAATTTTCATGTATCACTCTGAACTCTGAGCATTTTTTTTGGCACATTTTAACTCACTGCAATCTAAAGTCTTGTAGCTCTATGGAAACAGAACAAACATGGCTCCAAGTAGGGAGAAGGAAAAATGTCTTCTGTGTGGTACGACACACCTTTAATAAAAACAAGAAACAGAAAGTTGAATTTCTTTATTTATGTTAGAAAAACTGACAAAGCCTGGAATCCACAAGTGCAACAAATTTCCAGGTTTTCACAGGTGTTAACAACACTGGGAGCTCCACATTTATATTTTATTTTATTTCCATACTTGTCTACTATCTGTGAACCTGCAGCTCAGCAGTGAAGTTACAGAATTTTTGTCATGTGATTGTTTACCGCAGAAGTCTATAATGACTTCTCTGTTACACTAAAGAATGCAGCATTTCTATTTTTTACACAACCTGGTTGTACATGTACACATGCACACATGTAAAATAATGTGCTTTTGATGACGTATTACAACTTTAAGCTTTGATTTGGTGGAGTTTTGCCAACAGAACAGCACGTGTTCTGATTTTACTATGTTATTTTGTGTTGTATTTTTTTAATTTTTTAAAGACAAAAGGCAGCTTCTGGGTTTCAGAGGGTTAACATATACAACACAAATAGTATTGTTCTCCACTGCGCTACGACAGGAACTCAGGCTGCACCTCGAAAAAGTGCTCAGTAATCTGACAAAGACAGCCCAGAGGCCTGACTGCTGGCCATTTTTTAGCCAAAGAAGATTAGGAGACAAAGTAAAGAGCTTTCTGCTGTTTTCAGTGTTTGATGTCGCCCTACTTTCAGTGTTTTCAGAAGAGTTAAGAGTGAGTGACTGTCAGTAGGAAAGAGCAAATGCGTCTCCATGCTGTGCATATATAGGCCAACGATCCACGTCATTTGGCTAAATATGCAGCAAATGTGTTTACATTGAAGTAGAAATTCTCATTCTTATATCACAAACACCAGCTCTGAGTGCTCATGTGTTTCCACTAGCCTTTAACCTTACCCCTGTTCCTTTCAGCCTCACGGCGATAAGAGGACGACGGACTAAATATGTAGCGTAAGCAGCAACAGGAGAGCGACTTAACACATAAAATTACCCTTTGGTGCTTCAACACTGGCAAGAAGATGAAGACAAAGGGTCAATTGCTAGTGTAATGAGTGAGAACATTCTTTTAATAGTGCCCTCTATGGACGGCTTATACACTAATCCCATGTATGTGTGTGAGCCTGTGAGCGAGTGCGCGCTGTACATCCTTTCTGTGGACTGGAAGAAGAGCATTCCAGGAAAAAAAAAAATGCAGCCGCCGTAATGACAGATTAGCAACCACATGCAGCCCTTTGTACAGCCAGCCAGCTTTGTTGTCAAATCCACTATCCAATGTGAAGTGGATAATGACCTGGACTCTCTTCTTTATTCCTTCATCTTGCTCTCTCCGGCGCACACAAACACACAACGAAAGGCACACAGAAACACGTAGAAAAACGCTCAAGGATAGGTCTGAATATGAAAAAAGAAAAAGAAAAAAAAATTTCAGGAGCTCCAAAGCACAGCTGCAGAGGAAGTGTGTTTGCACCTACCTCTGCTGCGTGATTGGCTGACTTGGTACTGGGCAGAACAGAGAGCGAGTCAAGTCGGTGGAAAGGAGGGGAAAAAACCGGGTTTGTTTGGTGGGATGTGCTTTTAGAAACAGGAAGGGATGGGAACTCTACATCTGTATCGTCCGTGGTACTAAATCCTGCACAGTGATGAGACAGACTTGAAGGGAAACAATCTGTCAAAGCTACATACTATACTATCAGTCATTTTAATTAACTATAGGGAGAACTAATAGGGAACATTTTATTCCTGTGAGAACGGTCTTGAACAAGCAGCCAGCATGTTGTGAGAAGCCGTAGAGAGAAGAAAGTGTCCTATTCTTACATTATTATTTTCCCTCTTCTCTCGGCGTATCATATTATAAGAACATTAGTGTCAGTGAAAATGGTGGGAGACTGTGAAAGTATGAATTGATGAATAATAATCCTGCCTGTCATCTGTACGGCATTGTGTTAAACTGTACTGCAACGTGTAATTTACAGCCCATTGTAGCCCCCCTTTTGTAACAGTGACAATGAAAGACTGTCTGACATGTGAATCCTGTTCGTAACTTCTGTATCACCCAGTCTGACACACTGTTCATGCCAGCCTCGGCAAATGACAACCGGCATTACAAGCAGGGCCTGCTGTCTTCATCTCCTCGCTTTGGTTCCCTTCCCCCCCTCACCCACCCACCCCCTAACATCATCTACTCTCAGCAAATCGTCCTTTCTTTGTCCTTGACGATCCTCCGACACTCTCCTACCTCCGTTCCTCGCCTACACTGCCTCTCTCTCAGTGTTTACCTGAGGTTGGGGGCATAGTTTATGTTAGGTGGATTCTTTCAGACTGTCTGGTACAAATCTTTCCACCCCACTCTCTGCTTCTCTCACTCGTCTGTTTATTGCTCTCACTGTGTCTATCTCCCTTCTCCTCTCTTGGCCAACGCTCAATCTATTCTTCATCAGGGCTTCATTCGGGGCCATCTAAATATTTCAGATTCTGTGAAGGTGATACACAAGCCTCTGGCAGCTCAGAAGCTACCTGACTGTGAGCTTAACTATATAAAACCTTAGTGAAAAGGTCAAACCATAAAGAACAGACCTTGTCAGAATTACTGGAGATGTTGCAAAGACCAGTGTTCCTACTGTATCTACAGCAGCTTTTGTTTGGATGCAGAAATAGACGGAATGCTTGTGTGAGAGTACATGAATGTGAATTTTGGAACTTTTGGCAAAGTAAATATGAACTGCTGCATGTTTCTACAGGGATGAAAAAAATTCATTTAAAACAACATGCAAGATTAAATAATAAATCAAGCAACAGAACCTCTGACACATGATTGAACCTCATTGCTGGCACTGAAATTTTTAAATAAATGCTTCTTCTGAAAGTTATACAGAGGAAGGTGACGTGATCCTGCATCTGGATTCAAACGGAGGACATTGCGGGGATGTACACTCCTTTTATTCTTTGACTTTTACGAAGGTGGAGGCATGCAGCAGCAAGCAGCAAAGATGATTTCTACGCAGTGGGAAAAGCAGAAGCAGGTTGGAATCTTGTTGCAATATTTCCAGAAATAAAAACAAAATTAAGATATTAAAACGAGTGGAACAAAACACATCAATAATAACCATTTGACCTTGTGCTGTATCTTTAACCTCTTAAGACCTGGTGTCCACATGTGTGGACATCACATTTTGGGATATATTACCATATATTTATTTATTTTTTATTTATTCTCATTTATTTTTATTTGTTCTTATTTATTTTTTATTTATTATTATTATTATTATTTTATTTCTTTTTAAAATGTAAATATATTTTTATTTCCTTTCTATTTTTTTTATTTTTTATTCTCTTTGAAAAAATAAAGAATAAAAAATGCATGTCAAACAAGAGCTTGGTTCTTAAGGGGTTAAAATAGTCCAAAAGATAAAGGGATGACGATTGACAATATCCAGCACAGCTAAATAAAGCCACTATTCTCTGTATATTTTTTTACATTTAGATTTCCATTCTCTAAACACCTAGTGGGGTTGGTGACACATTAACTACTTAGGAATTATCTGCCATTGCATCAGGTCAAATCCTATCAGCGCAGTGTGGGAACTAGATGGACTGCGCTCTGCTGAGGTTCAATAGAAACTCAGTTAGGACTAAGTACAGCGGAGAGCAAAGCAGAGTAATGCCTCCTGAGTGTGTCGGAGGGCTGCACCCAGTGCGCTTTGTCTCCGCATCCTGTAAGGAGAGTTCATCTGATAGCCTGTCTGGGATCTGATACAGTCTGAAACATCAGGCCCATACAGGCGTCAGTGCACTTAGACTTCTAACACACTGACTTTGCTGGCGAGCTGACTGCACCACAAGGGACTGTGTTTGCACTGATAGCTGAAGATAGGCTGAATTAAAGCAGTGCAGCGCTTTCAAAGTCTAAAGAGCCGCTACAAGAGTAAGATTTGTTTCCAGTCATATGCACCCACAGCTCAGCAGCACGTTACCGCACATGTGATGAGGTGTTAACGTTCACATAGGAAATAATACGCTTCCACACATGTAATAAGCAACAAGCACAATCAACCTAATGACCAAAGCTGAGCCTGCTGACATAACCTAAAACAACAAACTTTTTTCTCACGAGAGGCCTCCAGCTGAGAATTAAGAGGCCTGATGTTAAGCCCTCTTGTTTACTGTGGATGCCGCACTGCCCGGTGTTTACAGAGCATTTTGCTGTGCCGTTAGTCCAGCATTTACAAAAATCAATACGCTTTCCACTTGCAGACTGGCACAGCAATTACTTGTTAATAATGCTCTCTACCAAACAAACACATGAGACCTGCGTGCCAGCAGGCATGCACATCAACGAGCCGAGCCAGACGAAGACATACAGGATGACAAATTAGTGCCGCCGCAAATTTCTGTCGACATCAAGCTCTTGACTTTC